GTCAGAATGCTACTTCAGGAAATTCTTTCGCTAGCATTCAACCTCATGTCTCGACCAATAGCGACCGTAGCGCAAGTGTCCAGAATGCACAATCTTCCGCATTGAACTTTATGCAGCATCAACAACAGCAACAGGTGAATCAATAGTATTGAATCTTCGCAAAATCATGCTTAACTGACCTATTTATACATTCAATCCATGTTTTTCAGGCATATTTTGCACAGTTGCAACAGCACCAACAAATGCAGTATATGCAACGATTTGGCGCAGCTTTTCCAATAACCGGACCGCCTAATTCCGTGAATGCTGTCGCACAACAAGCTTATGAGCAACAAATGGCCGCTTTGCATGCATCATTTGGTAAGTAGTAGGGAAGCATTTCTTGTTTTTGCAAATTTGTTTGCATAAACACCCTCCTAAATTTCTTTATCCATTTCCCTCTAAGTTTACGAAATAATTTTTGCATATAGTAGAGCATCTGATTTAGATCTACATTTTTGTTCATTAAGTCTATGTATGGAATGTATAAATCAATGATTCATGTGGGGAACCCCACAGTGCACTTAAATTTGGTCATATGCATAATAATTAACAAATATAAGTTATCCTGTCTGGAAAACGTTTTCAACCAGGAGATTAATTAATACTTACATTTATCGTGAGCATTGAAACGCTTTAATTTAAATTTTTTCTGATTCGTCGATTTGTCCTATTTGCTTCATTGCTCACATAGTTAATTTCAGAGTTTTCAATTCAATAATTTGGTCTAGAGAAAACTAGATATATATCATGTTTTATGTTTACAATTTGTGCAATATTTTCAGGTTATCCAGGAATATTCATGCCGCCATCATTTCCACCTAAATAAAAGGGAATAAACGGAAAGATTACTATGCGATGAATGTGTTAGGTTCTAATTAAATTGTTCTAACCTGTTTGCTCAGAATGCAGGATATTGTTATAATACAATATGCAAGTTGTTAATGATTTTCTTAAAAGGGTTTCATGGGTTTCTCAGTAATTTCCAGGCACAAAAATAGGAAGAAATAAGGCAGTAATATCTTGCATATCTAAATCCAGTCGGTAGAATCTCTGAAAATTTATTTTTCCTTCACATGTTCACAGTCCATTTCTTTCTTTTTATTTCACTCACTTTTGGCTTTTACTATACCGCCACTCAGGTTTACTATTAAAGTTCAATTATTTATGAAAGAAAATAGTTTTAAAACTTACAAACTAATTACATAATTGCTACTAATTTACAGGATACATTTCAGAATTTGTATGGAATTTTGAAATATTGTCGTGAAATTCCAAAATTTTCAAAATTTTTCTTAGTTTCATGAATTTTTAACAAAAATGGATGTACCGCAGAGTGATGTGTTTTTGTGAGGCGTCCATTTTGCAATCGTATCTGATATGCGATTGTGTTAAGGTACCGTTCACGTAATTGTGTTCATTGAAAATATCGAGCAACCGTTGTCATATTGACTGGATCAAATAATTCTCAGTACTGCAGAACTGTGCATTTGTTAATGATATATTGTTATAAACAGCGAATTCTGCCCTTCACTCCGTTTTGCTGGTTTTTTTTTTATTTTTGTCGCTTCACCTTTATTAGGCATCGTATTCTTAAAATTATTTTTATCCTCATTTTTTCGTTATCAACAAGCGTTTCACTGTTACATCTTTTATATATGTTTTGTTTGTATTTTTTCATGCTCGCTGTATATTGAATTTTCGGGACTGTTCAGACAGGAAATTATGCAGTTTGAATTTGTTACACATTCCGCTCATCTATATCAACGGGTTAATATTAATATTTTAATAATATTTTAAAAAGGTGGTTATTGAGCTCTGAAAAGAACATCATTAGTTAAAGTGAATTTGCGGTTTTTATATTTGCTACCTTGCAACTCAAAAGCCAACTTTCGTCTCCTGACAGATCAGATATAAGGTTTTTGTTGAACTTTGTTATAAACTATAGAAAGAAATAGAATGAAAATATGGGTATTTTTTACAGCTTGTGTAACAACTAACTGAGCATAATTCAAATACTTAGTTCACTGTTAATCGTTTTGTACCACTCATACAATGCCCTTCCCACTTCTCAGTCTTAATTTCAATTGTAAGTATATTCAGTTCGTGACTTTCAGTTTTGTTTTCTGAAATGCTTTCATCAGCGCAACAAGTTTTTCTTTCTGGTTATTGTTACGTATTGTTGTGGTGTTGATGCTACTCATTAAAGTCGTTCCGTTATCACGCCTTAGCAAAAGATTGCTTATGTATGCCTGTTTTATTATCGCACTGGTCGTTTTCCTCTACTGCTGTATCGGATGTCTTCCAGTTATTGGTAACGCGCTTTTTGCCATCCTGTGTTCTTTACAAATATTCAAGGTTTTCCGTGAAGAAGTGAGGAAGAGAAGAATTCTTTCTCGGAGAATCCTTTCCTAAATACCTTGTAGAGAACAAATAACATTGATGGAACAATTTCAATAAAGGCATTTTTTTTTAATAATTCCAAATATTGTAGGATATAATAGCAGCGATAAGTATTAATTCTATTGAGAAAAGAATTGTTCGATAGTTCATGAAAAGTTAAAACTTCCCACTTACTGTTCATGACATTTGTAATGCTCCAAGCTTCACTCGCGGAGTGAAATAAATTTGCTTGCAAAATGGGCTTATTCTTCACGCTAGATTTGGCTGCAAAAGAATGCAATATTTGACTGATTCAGCAAAATATGATTTCAGAAGTTGAAATCAAAATCAAAGTCTGAGATTGACTCAGATAGGGAATCAACAAAAGAATCATTCAAGAGATTCGCAACAAATCAAACAATGAAATTAAATTCTAACGTGCGGGGTGACTTTGAATTGGGCTGAGCATTGAGAGAGTCAACAAAGAGGGAGAATCCCCCGAAACAGACAACTGACGAGAGGGGGAGTTGAGCGACTGAAACGTTTAGAAATTGCTGATACCTGACTACTGTGTCATCTGAATCTTGTCCTCGATCACGCAATCATTTTACGATGAATTTCACATACGATGTAACACATATAAAATTAGTCGGCAAGGCTAAAATAGTTATAGATCAGTCCCTCAGCAAGTAAATGCTCAAAATGGGCTTTCCAGGTGGCTTTGTTTCAATCAAAGGTTCTTTTCATGAATTATAAAAAAGAGAAATGAGAGTTACTGCTGTCAGTAATTAGATTCTGGTTAGCGCTTATTTGCTGTCCAAGTGAAAACCGACGTGTGAAGTAGGAAAAGTTTCAAAAATTAAAAACTTTGGCAATATCTGGTCACTTTTGAACTTCTGAATTTCGTTCTTGATTAATAAAGCTTGTATAATTGTATGTTTTGCTACACTTCAGAATTTCATCGCTCATACAATGATACGTATATTCTCATCCGTCCCTTTCAATTATTATCTGAAATGATAAAAGCAACAAAATGGAATTGAAATCGTATTTTATTATTACGTGCACACGTATTCAGGAATTATTAATCAGCACTAAGCACTCTAATTTTTTTGTAAATTTTGCCAAGCTATCATATCGATTAAAGATATTAGCCTAAGAGGAGTCCAGTCAAGCATCAATGACGATAAACATTTTATGAGCTGAAATTACCGCCACTGCTGGCAACATCTCATATACTAATTGTTTTGATTATGCTATCAGAGATCTCATTTAGATCAAGCTTATATTTTCCTATCTTTGAGATTGGATGAAATGCAAAATTGTTTTTGATACAATGATTGTATAACAAATTGGTAAATATTACTTTTAAGTATGCTTCATTTCAAACAAACATGTTTTTAAATTTATGCGCTAGCTTGATCTTTTCTATGATAGGGAAAGGATTCTAAAATATAGAACGAATCAAATTTACTCCCCTAACACATTCGGCAAGATGGAAGTAAAAAAAGGTGATCATCTGCAATAATTGTCATGAATCAAAGATAAGCAGTAGAACGAGAAAAGGAGTGCACCACCGACCATATGCTAATCAAACTATTCATGCATAACATGTCATGCAGCAAGATTGTGGAAAATATGTTAAAACGGCTAGACGGCAAAAGTACGCTTTTCTATTTGCATTTCATTAAATCTCTCACCCTGGCACTGCCAATCCCACAATTCCAATTGATTGTCCCCTTGAAGAATTACCTCAGTGGTGACACTTATCATTTCATTGTGTTATTCCAGTAGATATTGTCCAATTCTAATTCTCATATAATTCTCACTCTTGTCCTAAATTTATTACAAATATTAAAATTCATGCAAATTCTCATTGAATGTTAAGATTTCGATATTATTTTCCCTCTGTTGTTTTTATAGAATTACCACATTTAGATATTCATTATTGGTAGATCTCAGACTAAACCTGTCCCAGTCACCTGTCATCTTAGCATCATAGGATTGAACGAAAAATTATAATGTATGCCATCTACAGCTTCAATTAAATATTTGTATTTGTCATCAGAGAAAAAGAAGTATTATATTCATTCACTCACTCCATCAAACCAGCCATCGTTCATTTGTTTGTCGACACAAACAATAGGTATATAGAAAGGCGCTGTGGCAACAACTATTTTGCCTGTAGTCCTTTAACTTGTCTTTTTTGAATTGTTTATTCCCTTTTCCTCTCATCTTTCCCAACTCTTCCTCTCTTTCAAACTCTCTCTCATCTATTTCACAGACATACATATACATATATTATTATATTTATGTATAAATAATATATTTATATATTGAAATCAATTTGAAAAAGATTGATTTGTTGCTCAGTCAATTTTTTTCTTTGTTAAACATATATTTTAGAAATTGTATTAAATTTAATCAAAATTTGTTGAATGACTTTATCAATTTAGCACCAATCAATAGACTTAGCACTAACCAACCAATAGACAATATGTTATTTTATTAATTCCAAAAAGTCAATTTATTCTTGTCGAAATCAATAAATGGAATGGAAGAGATAGTATGGTTGAATGTTTATTTTCCATAACTGAAATTCTGATATTACTTACTCTCTGTACGTTATTATTACAGCTGTTGTCTTGTGGATAGTTTAGGATAATCTTTTTTAATATTCTTTTCTTTTATATTTATTAATCAGGAAGATCATAATGCTAACTAAGAAGATCATAAATAATTTTCGATCAGAAAAGAATTTAAGCAGTGATAATAATCCGTCATCTTTTCTGCAAAAATGTCCAAAGAATGGATTAGTTTGATTATTGCGTAAACTATGAGAAAAGCATGTAATATGGATAATTTGAAGACAGTATTTCGTATCATATTAAGGTAGATACTCATTTTAGATTCATATTTTAGGCTTGTTTCAGAAACAGCTGTAATTTTCTTTAAACTTTTTAATTTGAATTTTAAATAATTTTTCATTACTTACTGACATTTCTATTGGAAGCAGTTTTCTTGCTAAATTTGATAAGATAATTATTATAAATAAGATAATACTCTTATATGTATGTGTTGGATCGATTAAGAAACTAAAGGAAAGAGTTGTGAAGAAACTTCTTTAAATCATTTATCTATCGATTTCGCAAATTTTTTTAATAAATTTTGAATGTTTAAAAATATGATTTCATCACACCGCTTCTCATTTCAAAAATTGTTGTAAACGCCATTTAAAGGCGCATGAAACCCTGAGCATTATTTACCATCATCATTGGTAAAGTAGAAAAGAGAGAGAGAGAGAGAGAGCAGCCCTCTTGCTTCTTGAAGAGATGCTTTCCATTAAAATACGCCTCAACAAATCTGAATCATGCTAGCTTACTTCCTGTATTATTAAAAATTTATAAAATATAATTTAATTAACTTTTATTCTGTAGTAATTATTTT